ACAGGCTGGTGAGCAGAATTTCCGGCATTTGCTTTTAAATGCTAGACCTTGTTGTGTTAAGATTTTATCCTTGTGGGACCAGAGAGCCTACAGCTACTAATGGCCCCTTGCAAAATTAGGTTTGCCTTTCCATTTAGCCTTCATGTGACTCTGTGCAGTGCTGCACGGAGCAGGAATTCTTAGTCTTTCCTTTGCAGCCTGTCAGAACAGTGATTAAGCAGACAAAGGGATTGATTGTTTTTTAATGAAATAGTCTATCTGGCAAAAAATGAAGTCGGGCTCACTGGAGACTATCTATGCTTTCAGTCGCCTCTTCAGAAATTCATGAATAGTTCCCTCAAGAAAACAACACATTTTTTTAAAAGCCTGAAATGTGTTTTTAAACATTTTGATTTTTCATCCTAAGTAGCATTTTGTTCAAAAAACCCTAACTGAATAATCTGAAAGGAGTAGAAATTGTTATATTTTCCCTGGAATGCAATGCTTTGATACACAGCTAAGTGTTTCTGTAAGGGGAGAGGAAAGCTTGCTGAGAGTTAAGAGAATTTTGTTTCCCAACACTGTGTCTCCCTCCTCAACCTTCTGTTCATCCAGTTAACCAAAAGATCAGTTATTCATGTAGCTCTGCCTCTAAGTCACGCAGCTATTAAAAAAAAAAAAAAAAAACCCAAACCAAAAAAAACCCCACCATCCATTTATACCATCATAGAGAAGTCTAGATTAAAAAAGACCTCTAGAGATCATCTGGTCCAACCTTGCATTAAATTATTCTTACTCTAACTTATGTCAGGACTTGTTTGGCAGTTACAGGGGCCAGTTCAAATTTATCAAGGGCTGCTAATAAACCAGCTTAAAGCCTGTCTCAAAACCTGGGAAAAAAATTGAACTAAACCTTCTGGTACCTTATGAGCTAATGTTCCCCATTCCCAAGTGTAACAATACCTCATTAAAGAGGGAAAGAGAAAAATCAACTTGCATAGGTTGTGAACTGCATGAATATAGTAATGTATAAGCGGTCATATTTCATAGTCCTCACTGAAGATTAGGTCTGCAGGTAACTTGCCCCTTCATACGGCAATCTATTGTGGTTTAGGACCACCAGAGCCCAAGGAGTCGGTTCCTTGAGCCTGCCTTCTTTTGCTTTGCTCCATGTTCGCAGCCGCTTTGCATAGCTGCTGTCATTTCAGGTCATAGCAAAAACACATGTGGTATTGAAAACGATCATCATCCTCCAGCATAAAGGAAACTCTTCCACAGCTTCCACTCCTGCCCCTCAGCTCTCAGGAGCCACTCTGCAGTTCACAAGAGAGATTTTGGCACTTTTTTTTTTTTTTTTTTTTTTTTTTTTTCCTAGCAGCAAGACTTGCAGCCCACGCTGGAAATTATTTTTCTAGGAGGGGGTGCTCACACACACCCGCAAGGCTTGTTGCCCCAAACTTTGCTAGGCCAGTGAAATGACAGTCGTTTTCCCACTTTATGCCAGGCTTCCTTACCTTAAGGGAAATGTCTGCCAAGGACAACAGCACAACCTGTGTAAAAATAAATGTTTTAGGTCCCTCCACTGCTCCCTTTCAATTTTCTCCACTTTTCTTCCCCAGATGCCAATAACATATTCCTCCTTTGGGGTTTCCTCCCCTCCACAACCACTGGGTGCTCTTCCAGCTCTCAGTCCCCAGGCTTAGGTTCAGTTACTTACTCAATGGAGAATGGCATTTGTCAGTTCTAACGCTTGGTGTTGAACTGTACAATTTTAAACCATTTATAACCTTAAGCACAATTATTTAATCGCAGTATTTAGCAGATTACAGGTTGAAAACACTATATAAACATCAGGCTGGATTTTCAGGCTGTGCACTTGAAGGCAGGGCACGGACATGACATTGCCCTTCCATTAACTTTCCACCCATCGCCCATGTGGTTAATGGCAGCAAATAATAGCCACAGGGGTTGCTATCATTTCTTACATCTTGCAACAGTGTCACAGCCTGTTCCTCTGTCAGCAATTGCTGTAGGGAAGTGTTCTCTAGAAAAACCTCCACCTACTTTTGGGATGCCGTCTCACACACCTCCATGCTAAGGTTACCAAGAAGGAGTGTGAATAGTCAGCTGTGTGTTTAAGACAGCCTTAAAACCTGTTCCTGGAATTTGGCTGTGTCTGCACAGGAGGCTGCTCTGCAGAGCACACATCACTTGGAGATTAGCCAGTGCAGAGGTCCATGATAGAGCAATTTGGCTGCATCCGCCCCTAAACAGCTTAATTCACAGGTATTTTTGTGCTATGTGAATTGATTCTTGTTTTCAAGAAACTGATTACAGCTTTCTAGTGGTTGGTGTGGTGTGTTTTTTTTGCTTTTTTTTTTTTTTTTTTTTTTTTTTTTTTTTTTTTTTTTTTTTTTTTTTTTTCCTACAGGCTTTTTCAGTTTTCAAACCAGATTGGTGGGGACTATTCTTGTGACTCAAGTTGCTCCTGCATCCTTTTCTTGTGGAGAAACTGAGGCAGAGCACAAGACCTTATCTGTGGTCACCCTGCAGGCTTGTGGTAGAAATAGATATAAAACCTCTGATCCTCAGTCTGTTGCTCTGTGTCTCCCATTGCTATTCTGTGTGTCTCACTGTCATATTTCCCATGGTAAACAAAATTCCAAATACGCCATTAACACTTTCTGCTGTATGCTTTACATCATTGCTCTTGTATAGTGAAGACATGGTACTGCTCTTAAATGTTATTGTGACCCAGGAGAACTGACTGTTTACTCAGATTAATCTCCTGATTTTCAGCTAGCTAATTGGTTGCAGCCACTTCTACCCTATTTTCTCTTCTTGATTCTATACTGACTCTTTGCTGATCGCTCCTATCACCTCATTTCTTTCATATATTGCTTACGAAATTAAGGTCATCTAGCAGCAGCCTTATCTTTGTCAAACTGCAGATTATTTGTTTCTGAAAGTACTCAGGGTTTCCTCATGACTAAATCCAACCAACTCTTCTGCCTTTCTTCCCCTCAGAAAATACTGAATTGCCAGAAATTTTCATGTTGGCCATTCCAATGGGAGGTCTAATAGACAAATGTCCCTGGGAAAAATATTTGGGGTTAGATCACCCAAACCTAGAGTGAAAGGAACCTATGTTTACCTGTTTCTCAGGAGCCAGGCTCCTGATCTCAAGGTGAGCCAATAGCTGGTTTTCTCTTTTCTCTAGAGGATTCTAACCCAAAAAACTTTGTAGAGTGCCCTAATGTTCAGGCTGGCTTGGAAAGGACTCTGCGCAGCAAAAGGCTTCCAGCAAACTGTCATGACAGAAGCACTAATCCTTCAGGAATATGCCCTCTTTGGCTGAAGGAAGACTATGAGGGCAGTTGCTCAACTTCAAGTGGATGATGTATGTCAGAAGCAATCCCTTAACACAGGACTACTGTGCTTAGCATTTTATCATAGGCCTGTAAAGCAAATGTTAATCTATTGTAGCATTTGATACATTTTTGTCCTCAGCTGCTCTGATCAGAAAATGTCCAAGTGGCTTGCACAATTTAGTGTTCACCACAGCCACAGAGCTACACAGGTTTGGTCCAGCTAATCCTGAGAAGGGCTCTGTGGGATGGCACATTTCTACAAGATAAGTAAGATTTTTCAGCCTGACTATATGGGGGGAACATATGTCAGCACAAATTAGTGACCTTTCTGGGGTGCTGACCATGTATGCAAGCTGCAGAATCCAGGCACAGGGCTTTTTGAGCATCCTTCCACTACGTGGTCTGCCTTGCACCTGGTGGTTGCATAGACAGCTTTGGAGACTGTGGTGCTCTGTGGCTTTTGCATGGAAGATG